ACTTCTGGGGTAACAGTAACAAGTAAACTTTTTTATTTTTATATAACAGCCTTGCGATTCTGTAACTTACTTTTCGAAGACTGCTTCACGACTGATTTGAGCGCGACCGCCGCCGCTGCGAAAACCGCTGTGAGAGTTCGAAAAGTGAGTTTCAGAATCGCAAGGCAGGTGGCAAACGGGCAGGAGGCTCATCTGATGTCAAGTGACACCGCCGTCCATGACACTCACATTGCCAGAAGACTAGCATGAAGCGTTTCCGAAACTAAACAAACACACTAGACCGGACAATAACAAATGAATAAAGCAGTAGATGATATGTGTCTGACCCAATAACGTCAACATTCGATCCTTTGATACATAATTTCAAGACGGAATCTATGCTTTATGCAAATACTGAATGCGATAATTAGAGAAATCAACATTGAAACATTAGATTACTCGTGGGTATTTATTAAGACAAATTAACTTAATACTAACGAGACTATTGATGAAATATAATATATAATACGTTGATTATGTATATAATATATGTACGTACGGCTTGATCCCTTGGCGTTTCGTAGAGATATGGGGGCTTTCTGCATCTTCTACCGCATTTACCATGAAGAGTGTTCAGTGGATATGTTTGGATTAATAGCTGCAGCTTAGTTTCATCATCGGACGACAAGGCAGATTGGTAAATTCCACCCCTATCACCTCGTCAGTCGTTCCACAACTGAGCGGTTTTTTAAGGCATTTTTTTGCCGCGCAGCACCACTATGTGTATTGCCCATTGATGTATTTCCGAACCAAATCGGCTAAGGCAAGGAAAGAGCGTACCAATTCTTAAGTGGCCGGCAACGCACTTGCTAGCCTTCTGGCAATGAATGTTCATGGGCATATCACTTAACATCAGGTGAGTCCGATTGCCCCCTGTTATATAAAAACAAAATTATTGTATAATAACGCCCTAATAAAATATACACAATACTACGACATATATTTTTTCTTTGGGTAGCTGGTTGAATCATTTCACTGCGAAAATGCCTCTAGGGCAGCGTAGTACATATGTTTCTGCTTAAACTTTATTGAAATCCTAATTGTTTTTCTGCATTTTGTTTTCTATAATGACACCATAATATATTATCATGTCAGCCTATATCCGTATCACAGTTAATTTATACAAATAGTGTTCATATGTCTCAATTAAAAGACGGCCCTTAATGAATTAAGTGATATCACTAAACGTGGCTGTAATAAGACATAATTACTTAAAACATCCACTTTTATCCACTTTTTTACATATTGTAACGAATATTTGTTTTTTCATTAGGAACATGAAATAAATACACATAGAATAATAACGTTTTAATAAACATTTATTACAAGTTAAGCAACTACTTTTTGATGGTCCATTCCACGGAGATGTGTACATATTATGTTAACAATGACTACCTTTTTCACATAACAAAATTTATAATGATAGTTCAGATGTCTAAGAACAGGACTAAACTACACAGCTCGTATTCCCAGACGTATCTCAAGTCTCAATCTTGACGTCTTGGACGCTGCAAAAACATCTATTGATTAGGCAAGTTATGAGTTGAGTGATCTGTTTCAGAATACAGGAAGAATCCGAAGGATATTGGATTTAAGAACACGTCCTTTATTAAGGAAGTTAATTTGAGTCTATATTTTGAGAAAAGTCATATTTATAGTACTATTCTTCAGTTACTTTTTTTATATATTTAATTTAAATAAAAGTATGTTTCATTTGTTGCCTCACAAAACGCTGGCTTATTTTTTTAAATATTACATGTGAATTTAGAATCTGTCATTTTTATATGATTATTCATTGAGTTTTCTCATTTTGGCGTCAATACATTGTACAATGTTTTACGATATTACAATGGAGTGGGGTGATAAAGAGAACCGAATCGCTGTGATTGCAGTACAAAAAGTAGGTATGGAGCCAAATGCATTTTTTTACTCTTTAAAAAAATACGCTTGGAATTAGTAAAATATTTGTGTACCACACTATTAATAGGTACCTACAATGAAACGTCCTCTGTTTGTGACATAAAGAAATCTGGCCGTCCACGTAGTGTTCGTACGAAAAAGGTGGTCAAAGCAGTAAGGGAAAGAATTCGAAGAAATCCTGTCCGAAAGCAAAAGATTTTATCTCGGGAGATGAAGATAGCACCTAGAACCATGTCGCGTTAAAAGATGACTTAGGACTTGTATATATATGCCTATAAGATACGTACTGGTCATTTCTTATGTGATAATTTAAAAAAGAATAGGGTTGTAACATCGAAACAACTACTGAAGCGGTACGCAAAGGGAGGTCAAAGAAAATTGTTGTTTACGGATGAGAATTTTTTTACAATTCAGTAATATTTTAACAAACAAAATGACCGTCTTTCACCTTAAAGCTCTACGGAAGCTTCCCAATTAGGCGACGTGTCGAGTGCAACGTGGGCACTATCCGACTTCAGTGGTTTGGTGGGGTATTAGCTATGAAGGACTGACTGAGCCATACTTTTATGAAAAAGATATCAAAACATCGTCACAAGTGTATCAAGATACCAATCTTTAGTATAGGTAGCGGCTTCACTACCTTAGTGAGGCCGCTTAACAACACCACATTGAATAACCAAGAATAACCAACCAAGTTTCTTCCAGCAAGACTCGGCGCCGGGTCATAAAGCTCGGTCTACGCAGTCTTGGTTGGAAACGAACGTTTCGGACTTCATCAGAGCTGAAGACTGGCCATCGTCTAGTCCCAATCTTAATCAGCTGGATTATGATTTATGGTCAGTTTTAGACAGTCCCTAAAACAATCCGTACGATTGGCAGTGAAGAATTTTCTTTATATAAACTGCCCTCAACGTTTAAAAAAATTTTTTTTTTGTTTCAGTAATTATGGCAAGACAGGGTAGACACTTAAATCGAAGTTTTTTTTTACTATAAACTAATCGCGTGCTCATCTAATAAAGCTTGTCAATTTCTAATATACAAAACATCTTTAGTCCTTCTATACATTTCCTACGTTTTGTGCAAGTACTACCTTGTTAATGTCCGAATACATAAACGTCAATTAAATTTGGCTCTTTTAAGTTGCTATTTAAAGCATACGAAAGCTGAATTCTAGGGCCATTTTTGCCTTTTTCAATAAGAACTAAGTCTAACTCTTTCACCTTAAAACAAAAATGTCATTATATACGCATATCTAGGTCGTTAGCGACTGAACTCATCGTTTATTCATCACAGCGTAACCAGAATTTGACAGAAAGGTTGAAATTTACCTTAGTTGAAACAGAAGAGTATTTACTGATATTTGTGTATTCGGGCATTAGTTATCTAAGGATATGCCTCAAGACCTAAAAAGCTCGGTTTTTTGATTCTAATAAAGTACTATGTACATGTAATAACTTACGTTACCCGTAATTCAAAACGTAAATCTTGAATATAGTTTAAAGAGCTGTAACAAACATGACTCTATATTACTGTTGGCACTAAAAACTTTTGTTACGTGAGATACGTTTTGGAATACAGGCTGTTGTAACGTAGAAGTTATTTGTAGAACTAATTACATTGTAACAATGTTTGATATGATGTACATTTTAAATACATAAATGCCAAATAGGTACATACAGCTAATAGCTTTCTCATAATCTCTTAAAACGTTTATCCTTCATAATTAAACTTTGACGCAACTGTGCCGGGAGTGAGAAGAAAAGTCGTACCGATGGTGATTTCGACTTTTTCCCGGGTATTTAAATTTGTCTATGGTTATTTGTACATACAACATTACTTAGTAATAACGACCAATAAAGCATGGCTTTATTTACCTTTCCGTCCTAGTAGACACAGCGTGGGACTCTCGTCCCTGAGGTCGTAGATTCGAACTCCGGCTGAGCGCTGGAATTTCTGTGTGCGCTGACTAGCTTGTACGATACAGGAAAACACCGGTATGCTTTAGACCCAAAAAGTCGATGGCATGTGTCAGGCACAGAAATTTTATCACTTACTTGCGATGAAACAGTTTAAGAGACAGATTTACCTATTCTACGACTTTACATGAGACGAATAGAATTAATAATGGGTATTTTTTCGAGGTACAATATGTTTTCATCTTTATGTAATGTTATCATGTTATATAGTTACATAATCTATCCGATTAGGTCGAAAGGGTGCGTTAGTACCACTGTGACTTCAACCATTTTATTAGCCTCATTCCTCTATGATCGACCTTCCACCATATACCCAAACGTACTTCCCCATTTAATTCTACCATTGAGTTAAGTACAACCTCATAACTTCGAAAGTGATTCCGATCCGGATTCTTAATCTAGGGTTCGTGGATAGATGACGTCATTTATAATTTCTGAATCGGCAATTTATTACAGATTGCTAAGCAGTTTTGCTTTATTGTCCATACCTTAGTAGAGCTTCATTTTAAATGTTGAATTCTACTAAGAGTGACAGAGTAAGGGCTTAGCATTTGCATTACATATTTGGAATAATGAAATAAATAACATTTTGGGTATCAATTCAATCAACCAGAGCACCCGGTGAAGTATCTATAATTAAAAAATAAAGTCCCATACTCACTGGAGCATGAGACACTCATCAGAATACTAAATAAAGTAAATGGTTGAGGGTAGTCCAGATCAATTTATTTCAGAATTTGTCGATATCTCCTGTAGTTTGATAGTTATAACAAACTAATGTTGTATACTCAACTCCAAATATCATGTTATTATATTGCACCATTGCTTATAACCACATTTGTTAACCACTTAAGTCGCACTATATATAAACAGTCATCACTAGAATCTCAACGGTATGTCCAAGAACAGTTTCATACGCTCCCCGATATCCGTGATGGAGCGGTCGTCCAACTGCTAGCTGTCCGTGACGTCATCGGTGACGTCGTCGATTTCATCATCAAGTGGTTGGCTGGTTAGCGCCGCCCAGAGCGGGGACCGCGCGCCGGGTTGCGCCGAGCCACGCCGCTAGCTGTCGCCGGCGCAGGCGGCCGCAGTAACCGCGGCTGCCCCCACAGCACCAATGGCTCCGAAGAGTATCGAACCCACTTCCTTGTCTGGGGTTATTTCCACCTACGACAGCAATATTTAAGATCAAGGAAACAAAATGGACACCGCAAGAATATTTGAAAGTATATAGAACGGTTGTTAGGAAGTACCCGAAAGAATGTTACACAAAGAACAAAAATAATGCCACAGGTTAGAATATAACTGTTAATAAGTCGTTAAGGCTACATAACAGTAAAACTAAACGATCAATGTATGACGTAAAAGTAATAATATTGTTAATAATTATTATATAATTGTACCAAACTTCTTAGGAGGTTTTCTGACTAGACAAGTAGTCGAGGATTTTTACATTTTATATCAACCGCTTTTTATATACTTGAAAATCAAAGTAATTTCCCACGCGGATCACGTTTCAATCAGTATTTTAAACATATAATAGCAATTTTTATAATTGGGACACGTACATAATGATTGTGCGAGTCTTTGTAGAAAATGTGAACCAGTTTTAACTAATTCAGTATCATATTTTAAAAACAAGAGATACAAAGCGAAGATACAATGGAAATCCATTCACATACATTATTTTTAGTTTTGATAAATAACCTTAACAATAAATAACCTGTGAAAGCGTAGTTTGTTCCGGATCGGAGCGTTCTTCCAGGACAGTGTCCAATTCAAGTGAGGGAGGCGGCCGCGGACAGCGGACGAGACTGACCGCCCGTTGTCTATTTTTCATCGGAGACATTCTCACCACAGATAACTCACCGCGATCCAATTCGCAGTTGCGGCGTCTTGCGCGTTCCCTTTAAACATTTATTTATCATACAATCATTGTGTAGGATACTTTAAGCAATCCTAATAGAATAGTTCTTGGCAAACCGTATTAGAATGCTATCTATCTCTGTAGATAGCAAGACTTAACGTTTCGAAGTAAAAATTGAAATTTAAGCAGTACTTATAAAATATACATAAAATTCTAGTTATATAATCATAAGGCAGCGTTGATAAGCCTTACTATAAATATATCAACAAGTTTTTCTTCATATATGCATATTTTTAATATTAATACAGCCCTGCGTAGTCTCGTCTTTCACGCAAGAAAGGCAAGGAGTATATATTAAGAAGACAAAGTGACAGTAAATTTGTTCTCGCCGTGTGAAACGTCAGTCGAACAAATGGTAACGAGGGTCAAAGATATATTGTTTATGTTGCATTATACAACTCATCCCGCAACTGCATGGAACAAAGCTATGTAAACTTTGTTATTGTTTGTGTAAAAGCGATGTTTCCGTTTTTGTTCGTTAAAAGAACGTCTAATTAGATTAGTGACTTTGTTTTTTATAGGGGATTTATAATACAGATACTGAACGATAACTGAGTGAATAATACAATTATTAATCCTTTTATTTGCTCGTGAATAAAACAAAAATTGTACACTGTAAGAAACATTATGTAGAATATATTAAGACAAACATAAGGTACTACTGAACAGTCTCCTGCAACATGAATCAAAACTAGTTTTAAAAAGCTTTCCGTTTAAACATTATTGATTAAAATTTATTTATTGAAAAGTACGACATTTAGTAATGAATTTCAATAAGAAGTTTGGATAAAAGCATTGTGTAGGGCAACATTGGTGATCTCGATACCTGAGATATTCTAAACTAAAACCAATGCTAAAATTGGCCGAGAACTTATGCGATTGCTCAAAGAGAACTAAACTACCCTTGGCTTAATTGCGTATTTAGGCATCTATTCATGTTTCAAGGTGCACAGGGAAACTTCAAAGTTTTCCACGAATTGCGAGAGTTCGAAGAATAAATCAGATGGCAACACTAGGCATCTTCTTCAAATTGATAATTTTTGTATCTGGTATATTTCATTTCTAAAATCTCTAAATTAGATTAAAACACGGTTTAATGTATGCACAATATTACTAGCATTATAATGTAACAAAATAATATATAGTAAGGCCATAGACGACTGCTAATTGACTCTAAATACTGTTAAGTAAACTGTTAATGTTAAAGACGTGTCAAGGCAAAGGTTAAATTAGAGTCATATAATGGGAAATTTAGTATGGATAATACTAAATTCCCTTCGCGTAAGTTGAACATTAATAATTACCTCGCTAATTTCGCCCTTCGTCGCAAACAGCAAATAACTGTCAGAGCCAATAATGGAAAGCCGAAAATGCAGGACACGATCGGTATGACTATTGACTCGGGTGACACTGAAACAAAATATCAGAAAAATGTATGTATATTGGTTTTAGGTCAACCCAAATACGCTCATATAAATATCCCTTCTGTTATTTAAATGCGTTAACAGGTAGGTAAAATACATATGTTGTATGGTATAGAATTCACAGCTCATAAACTTTGTTTTATCGCGCATGTTCGAAGTCTTTGCAACCCTCAAATTAGGCATTAGACAGACATATTCCTGCAAATTGATTCCGCCTACTAACAACAAAAAACAAATGTATTGGCAAATTTATGGCGTAGATAATTAAAGATCTTTGGCACGGTTATCTTTCGGGATATCAGTGGGTCTCGAAAACGCTAGACAATATAGAAACCCAATATCACGTGTTAGATAACGAGAAAAAGACGGGCGAAAATTGTTTATGTAGAAACCTCTGCAAACACAATTTTTACCTGTAAAACGATTTCAGTAGCGATAATATACAGAAAATATAAATAACGATACACAGAAAAATTGATGTTTGAGAGGTCTCTCGAGTACGAAAGTAATAACTTTGTTGGAGGTTACCATTTTTAACTTTGTCGCTTTGAAACGAGTAATTTTAATAACCAACAAAATGCTCTACCTCCAGTGTGAATCATAAAAGTCAAAGTTAGAGAGGATGTTATATATAGGAAAACTACTGTACATTAAATAACACGAGTAAAACATGTACATGGATTACAACAGAGTAACGCAGTGCGTTTATGTAGTACGTATGTAGTAGTTTAGTAGTATGTAAGCACTAATTATATAGTACTTATTGTGCATATTTTTATAAGGAAAATATAATTTGTTGTCCATGACCATAACAAATTATGCTAAAATTTAAGAGCTTAAAATAATGATAATACTATTTTTATTTGGCATGAAAGTGGATAAGATATATTAATTACCATCAGATCTGTCAAATAAGCATGCAAAATATATTTTAAAAAAAATTAGTTTTTTTTTACAATAACTCCTCCTAACCTCATTCCTGCGGTTCGATCCTCGGCTTTGCACTAAAGGACTTTCTGTCTTTGTGCGCATCTGACACTCGCTCTTACGGTGAAGAAAAACACCGTTAGGAATGGCATGTCTGCATTACAAAAATTTTCGCCATTTGTCTATAAAATAAAAATGACCAAAGAAACGGATGCAATCTGAGGCCAAGACCCGTTTAGGGTTGTGAATGGATGGTAATTAGTTATTTATAATGTCGTTGTATAATAAGTCAGTACGCCAAAAACCTATAAATGAAGAACTCTTCCGATTTATAAAATCACTGGCCCTTATAAAACCTTCCCTTGAAAGTACAGTATAGAAAACACTATAATATGGTATGTAATACAAAGAAGGTAGGTAATATAATATGTAAAACTCGTTGACTACACAAATTCTGTGAACGTAAATATTTGTCAAATCTAATATCGGTAATAGTAATAATTAATTCATCGTTTTCAGCCATTATGCGTAATGCAATAACTGCTGTTAATATTATGTACTTCATGCCTTGTAAATTTAATTCTCCGAATTGAAATATATAAACAAAAGATGTCGGTGCACGTTTTCACTTGTTAATAAATAACACTTAGGGTGAGATTCATAGACACAAGGCTTATAGGATTCTGACAGACTTAATAAGGTATTTCATTTGACAATCGAGAGTCACTTAGCGCGCTTATCGAATCCTATTCTAACCCTTAATTCGTACAACGACGAGTCACCGTCGACACCTGGGACTTCACACTGCTGTTTTGCTGATGATATTTATTAATGAACTTTAAATTCTTAACTATTTTAGTAGCTTCAATGAATATGTTAACCTTGAAGTAGGACAGTCTTCAGGCGAAGCTAACTGTTCACCTGTAGAAACACAATAACTAAGTCCCAACTAATGAACTAAATTAAATCTGTTTCAGTTGACCTCATCGAGAAACTACGTCCAGCAGCGTTGTTTAAAAATATTTTAAAAACTTTAGTTGTCATATTTGTGGACAAATTGTGAAATATTTATTGTTCAAAAGATATAAAGGTCTTAATCGTTTAAAGCTATATATATGTCTCCCGACTACTCGAATTCTTTTTTCATTTGAAAGGATGGTCTCATGGTTCTAAGGCACAGTGCCTCTATTGTTCGGGAGAGTTTGTTACTTGATATATTATAACACATGTATATTCATTCATTTTCTTTAATGACAAGAATTAAAAAATACGTAATATAGATTTTTTTATTAATTTTATGGGCTTAGCAGTGGCTACCTGCCCTATAACCCGGCATGTCGTTGATTTATTGGGACACCTATATATTATTAACAATACGCCGGTAATGAAAATGATTGTGAAAATTGGACTCACCAGTGGGGTAAATGATGATGGGCGGGCGTTTATTACTGTGCGTTGATTTGGCAACTGTTATCATATTACTTGCTGTTGGGATCGTCGCGTTGTTAAATTGGTTCAAGCTAGATAGAGCATCTGGCGTCGTTCTTGTCATTATGCTGAAACAAGTTTTATTAAATACTTTTGTGATCAAATACTGTAATATAATTTTATATTAAATTATTTTTTAGGGAATGAATCTGAGATTTTGTGTCATGTACTACTTCTTTTCACTTAGGAGTTTTAACAAAACAGTACGTACGTAGGCCTATTTGGATTACGAACCACTTATTCAATAATTAAATTCACAGTTAAATTAAAACGCCTAACGCTGAGTTACTGACATGAATTTCTCATGTTTTGTTTTTATGAACTTAGTTTAAAATTGGTAATAAAATAACAGTAATAAAGATACAAAAACTTTGACATATTATGTATTTAATCATTGCGTAACCGCAAAAGAATTCGGAGGGTCTAATATTCCTGCTACATTCAATGTGTACAAAAATATTTGGTTTACGTCTAACCTTTTTCCGTCCGTTTGCATTTTACATGTTACAATATTCTATAGAAACCAATATTTTTGTTGATTAAATAAGTTGACTTATCACAATTTTCCAATGATTTATTTAGTATTTAGTCGTGTTTCTCTTATAGCACGCGACGCATTTTTTTTATATTAATCTTTAAAGAATGCGATGAACGCGTTATAATACGGAAAAGTATTCAGTATTTGTTTACTTAAAAAAGTAGAAAAATCTCGTTCCATACGCATATGCATTCGACGTTCAGCAATTGATGAAAAGCCGAAAGGGCAGGCCAAAATTGAAAACGTAACCTATATTGTACTTTCCATTTCAAAGAATTAATCGGTAGCTTGTATACACCTTTATAACCATAGGAGATGTTTTTAATTAATCACTCAATCAAACTCAACTAAAATGTATGCATTGGCTAATGAAAATAAATTCCTGATAAATCAGGATTCACACTTTACTAAAGTATAGTGTTTCAGGAGCCTGTGAGTTCCCAGTTTCTGTGTAGATAATTATTGTAATAAAGATAATTATTTATAATAATTTAAATAAAAAATATTTAAAGAAACTAATTTAAATAAAGTGGTAAAGTACCTATATGAAGCTAGGAGATGTTTTTAATTCACCACTTTACACAATTTATGCAAACGGCTTAACCATTGGCTAATGAAAACAAATTCCTGATGTGTTTTTTGTAGATTCTACTAAGTTTACACTTACACACAAATTATTTGATATAGAAAACAGTACTACTTTTGACTTCTCCAAACTTAATTTTACATTAATATTAGAAAGAGATGACAAAATACAAGTTGTATGCTTGTTCGTTTATATGTTACTACGCCGGCTGTGTGCATGCTAACAGTTTATCAATTTGACAGTAAAATGTATTTTAATCACCTAAATCTGTGTTTTCTTTAAATAATTAATAAGAGTATGAAAGAAATCATTGTTGGCCGGGCAAATGTTACAACTGATGTGGAAAATCGCTAACACGCCAGTGAATCAGAGATCTTCGTACAGATATAGCAACGGTTATAAAAAAATATTACATTATAATTTTAGAATATTAAAATGCAAAATCAGTATACAGAGTACAAGGGTGGCTTACAATATTAACTTTGACGATGTGGTAAATTTACAAAAATATATGGAATATCTTAAATAAAATATTGTAAATTTATATTATCTTACCTCATCATAAATTAATTTACTTTTGTTTTTTGTTATTAAATTTACTCTTATAATTAATTGTCTATATACACAGTACTTGTACATGAAACACACAGGCTCCCGAAATACAGTTCTAACTAGATCAGGAGTCGGGGATACATGTTTGTCATGTAACCTGTTTATGGCAATAAATTATTATTATTGTGACAGGGTTTTTAAATCTACATATGAGAGATAGAAACACGAAATAGGTGTGTCGGCGAACAAATCAGTACGTAATGTGTAGATAGACTGTTCACTCTATATATCTTTGTGATTGTGAAAATATATTTCTCAGGTTGAATACAATTCTATTTTGTAAGATAAAGTACAAGTATTGCTAGGGATTGCTGTTATGTATCGTTTTATTTTCGATTGTGTTTCGATAAGGTTTCAAATGTGTGATGTGTGAATGAATATAGAATTGCTTAGATTTCCTTTAATAACATATAAATTCGTATCCATAGCAATGGATATATAATACAGTTGTATTATGAAGAATAAAAATACTGAAAACTGTATTTTGATTAGCCAAATAAAATATTTTATAAATAATGTCCCAAACTTAAACTAGCAAAATTATAAAGGTAAAGCTTATTAGTTTTTAGCCGACGGAAAGAAACACAGGAGTCCTACGGAGGGAGGTACGTACTATACATGATATATTTTTATGGAATACCGAAGGAATATGCTGCTTGTTAGAGAACGACTAGTAAAATCACTCAAAATACTTGTATTCATAAAAAAATGCTTATTCTCTAAGAAATTCTTAAAAGCGAGCCTTCTGGCAGTGTCTGACTGTCCATGGGCATCAGTTGAGCACCCTGACCATGTTCTCCCTTGTCATCATGTCTTTCTAAAAAACAAAAAAAGATGTAAAGGTAATTATGGTAGCGGTAGTTGTATGGAGATGTTCAAATAAAACACTTTGTTTGAAGGTGGATAAGAACTTTCTATAATTGTTTAAAACATGACCTTATAAGTAACATAACATTAGGTTACTGGGGTTGCGACGCTGGATTAACAAAAAACTAACTTGACTTATTGAAGAGTTTGTATAAATACGAGTGACAGTATGTAATTGGACATTATGGGAAACGAGTTATATTACAATTTATGAGTGTGGTAAAAATGCCCAAAAAAATAAATGTATGAGGCCTTTCGTCATTTTAGCTTCAAGTGTGCGATGATTGCTTACATTTTGTCTACTTATTTACTAAAATATATATACGTATATGTAACTTAACTAAACTTATTTTTTTAAGGAAATATCAAAAAGGCTACTCGACATCACAGGAGACCGAAGAGCTGGCAGCTACCTCGGACAAAGAATTAGTTTAGCGATTCAAAGGGGGAACGCTGCCAGTATCTTCGGAACCTTGCCTTAAGAGACTCCTTTAAAAATATATTTTAGTTATTATATTTTAAGATGAGTTATTGTTTAAAGAAGGTTATGTCAATCAAAGACAATACTATGAGTTATTGTTTTTATTGTTCTTCTTTTTTGTGAATTTGTATGTTGGAAATAAGTGTTATTTTACTTAACGAATGTTAGGTTACATAACTAGGGTTTCTAGATTAAATAACGTAATATAATAAAACACATTTTTACTTTAAAAGCATTGTAAGACTATTAAGTGTAAGGCGTATAATAAAAGGTGTCAATCACTCTACAACAAATAACTTTATGTTTTTCATTATGACGATATAAGCATTCTACTTTTAAAATTGCTTCTAACGCTGATAAACGATACATGTACAAGTGATGTCGGAAGCTATATGTAGCAATTAATGGGTCGATGTAGTATGCCTCCTACAATTCATGTGTCATACAGTATAACACATGTATAACTTATACACGAGAACCACCAGTAAAATTTTACTTAACATAGTTTTAAATATACGAATTACGCACGTTATCCGTCTTAGAATTTTTTTTGTAATAATCAATGAATTAGCTTTTAAATACAGCTTTTTCATATTGAAATGTAACTTCTAATGGGACTTCCAACAAGGTTGCGTTAAACGTTTAACGCTACCATGGAGAGGGTATGAAAGCACTGTTGCGTTCAACGTTCAACGCTCCTGGGGGGAATAGGAAGAGACAGAGCGAGAGTGAATGCGTAATTTCGTATCTTACTTTAGTTATCATAATCCCATTGTAAATGTTATAGATTTGGACATTTCTCCACTCGAAAATGATAATTAAAAAATCAATTTTGAATTATAAGCAATGTTAATTAAGGTTATCTTAAAGAAACAATATGACGGATATATTTAGTTGCACACTGGCTGAATTCACAAGAATTGCATTATGTATTTATAATTAGTTATAAAATGGTTTAGGTTTTAAGTTTTTACTTGTTATGTTTATATTATGTTTTACGTTAGTTTTCTATTGTATTAGTATTAAGTTACTGTAAAAATAGGAAATAAGGAAAATAAATAAATGATTTTACTAAAAATCACGATAACTCCACGCACTATTTTAGTTTTTTTGTTTTATATGCTTTAATTTGGATATAGGAAAATAAAATATTTCTTCTAAATCGATTGCTATCAATCTTTAACACCATTTATTTTAAAAAAAGTTAACTCCTATTTTTAAACGCGTAGCATGGATATTACCTTGAGAAGTAAGCCTTCATAAATTTCGATTCCGTATAGCTGGCAATTTATAATGTAATTTCTCTCTTGACGTCATACTTTAAATCCTTGGTTTCTAAATTAAACCAGTTTTTTACGCAGTAGAAATCCTATAATTTTCATATATTTATAGGCGTTTATTATTTCTGTATCTGCCTTTTGTACCAAACAATTAAATATTAAATGCACGTAGTTTAAAGTGAATAAAGGATGAAAAATGGTTGGAATATTTTTAAATGTTGCCATGCTGTCGCAGCTGAGCCCGTCAGCGCGTTTGTTAAAATATCTTACATCTTCGCAATTGTGTAGACTGAATTTAGGTAAGGCATTCGACTGGCATATTTCATTAAGTTTATCTTAGTTTTCAACTTAAAATTTAAACGTTAGCCAAAATTTCATTTATTCTAGATTGAATTTTAATTTAGAAATAACGTTTTATATCAAACTAATACGTACGACGTTTAAAATTCAGGGTCCAGGGTACGTTTACAACGCTTCACTAAACAACTAGACGGTAACTTTGTGTGTTCAGAATTGTTTTATTTTGTGTGTTCTAAACTCTTTGGTAGCATACAAGTTGAACCACAGATATTTTATTCTACAGTGTTCCACATATAACTGATGATGATATGAATTATTCATTGGCAAAGTCCTTATGCAATATATATTTTTGAAGTATCAATTGAACACGTAAACAATAAAGCGCGGGAATTCGATTAAT